CGCGGCGGGCGCCAACGCCGTGCCCACCGCAGTGTACCATCACCATCACCATCACCCCTACGTGCACCCCCAGGCGCCCGTGGCGGCGGCAGCCCCGGACGGCAGGTACATGCGCTCCTGGCTGGAGCCCACGCCCGGTGCGCTCTCCTTCGCGGGCTTGCCCTCCAGCCGGCCTTATGGCATTAAACCTGAACCGCTGTCGGCCAGACGGGGTGACTGTCACACGCTTGACACTCACACTTTGTCCCTGACTGACTATGCTTGTGGTTCTCCTCCAGTTGATAGAGAAAAACAACCCAACGAAGGCGCCTTTTCCGAAAACAATGCTGAGAATGACAGCGGCGGAGACAAGCCCCCCATCGATCCCAGTAAGTGCCTTCTCCCTCCAAACCAGACACCGCCTCCACGCCGACCACCCGGATCTGCTGGCCAACCAGCTTTCTCTGGAGCCTGCCTTCGCCTCGCTGGGAGCCTCCTGAGCTGGGGCCGAGTCCCAGTAGTTGGTGTTTGGAACACTTCAGATAGGGCCCCAAATCCGGAGAACTGTGCTGAACTGGCCTGCAGGACTTGGGGAAGGGGAGGAGGCTGCTGCAGAGAGAGGGGGCGGGGCGGGCACTACCGACCGAGCCCAGACCGGCCGCCCCTCTCCTTGGCTGCCCAGGCTCAGGACAGAGATACTTTGGGCCATTCTTCGAAAGCATCACAGCGGAGTCTTTTGTGTGGCTAGATTGTTTTTGAGCCGCGGCTTCAACGTCAGCCGGGGCAACTGAGCCGGGACACTGAGGGAGACGCGGCGATTCCCTCCACTTCTTGCCTTCAGCCGGTGGCGTAAATCCTCCCCCAACCGAGGCTCGGGGCGACCGGGCTAGGAGGGTTCCCTGGCCAGATTATTCAAATAAACTGGAGACCTGATCAAAGGACTCAGGGCACCCTGCCGGCCTACTCAGCTCCCACGGCCTTCTTGGAAGGTCAAATTAGGAGTGGCGAGAGTAGAGGGAAAGCTGGGAAAAGAAGACACAACCAGAGAGAAAAGCAGTGTTAATGTTGCTGCAGGAACATAGGGCAGCATGGTTTCCCTCTGCGTGCCACAAAGGAGATCTGTTTACAAATCTCACTCTTCCCACAATGTGCAGAGTGGGAAGAAGGACCCGAGGGCACAGAAAGACCCAGGAGGAGAAAGGGTAGCGGAGGGGAGGGGGGCTGAGGTTTTACTGCGTGCAATTGTAAGTGACCGTCTGTGAGTCTGTCTGCCAGGGTTCCATTGTGTCCCAGGCTGTGTTCCTTTCCCCGACCAATGGAATGGCAACCAGCACTTCGGTTGGAGACCCCAGTAGGCTCCCTCGAATCCAGCTAGGTTGCTTCTCCTTCTAAACCCGGTGTCTCTCTCCCTGCAGATAACCCGGCAGCCAACTGGCTCCATGCGCGCTCCACGAGGAAGAAGCGCTGTCCCTATACCAAACACCAGACGCTGGAACTGGAGAAGGAATTTCTGTTCAACATGTACCTCACCAGGGACCGAAGGTACGAGGTGGCGCGACTGCTCAACCTCACCGAGAGGCAGGTCAAAATCTGGTTCCAGAACCGGAGGATGAAAATGAAGAAAATCAACAAGGACAGAGCAAAAGATGAGTGATGCCATTCACGCTCATAAAAGAGAGCAAGCTAGGGAGAAAGAGAAAGGACTGCCTGTCCCCTCCGCCTTTCTCTCACCACACTGCACCTCCACCACCCCACACAAAGCAAATCTAAACCCCAGGCCACATCTCCCCCCCTGGCAAACCCTGCTCAGGCTGGTTCCTAGGTCTGGCGCTTTGATGGAGGAGGTATTGTAAGCTTTCCATTTTCTATAATTACAAAAAAGGGGGGCATTAGCGCTGATGGCTGTGTGTGCTACCTTGTATATATTTTTTAAAAAATCTACCTGTTCCCGATTTAAAAGAAAAAAAAACTACCTTTTTATAATGCACAACTGTTGATGACGGGCTGTATAGATTTAGTCTGTGTAGTTAATTTAATTTGCTCTTTGTGCGGCAGGGCGATCTGCTGAGATACTTGAACACTGTGTTTTATTGTGGTAATTATGTTTTGTGACTCAAACTTCTGTGCTGGGTGACGCACCCGTTGTGATTGTGAAAGCTAGAATTCAATTTGAACTCAGGTTGTTTATGAGGGAAAAAAACAGTTGCATAGAGTATAGCTCTGTAGTGGATACGTCTTCTGTATAAGTAGGCTGTTAACCTATGATTGTAAACTAGCTGTAAGGATTTCCCAGTGAAATAAAATTTGTAAAAGGGAGAGGGGTTCTCCTGGATGCATAGGTTTATGATTTTTCCACTTTTGAAATGCAAGCATTTTAGTCTTTATGTGCTTTAGAGTCCTTTTTTGCCCATTGTACATATAATCTATAATTGAAGAAAAACTCATAATCAGACAAGCTTGAATATTGTTTTTGCACCAGAGATACAGAAAATTCGGAGCTATACATATGTGCAGAAGGTTACTACCTATGGTTTATGCTTAATTTTAATTGTGGGAAATGAACACTTATTGTAATGGAGTCAATTTTATTGTTAATAAATTATACACCACGAAACTGCCATTGGGCTACTGTAGATTTGTATTCTTGAATCTCGGGTTTCCATCTGGCTGAACATACACTGTATATTTTGCAATAGTTACCTCAAGGCCTACTGACCAAATTGTGTTGAGATATTTAACTTTTTGCCAAAATAAAATATATTGATTCTTTTTTATTTTTTGCGGGTCTCCTTTTTGCACCTTCTTTTCCAGGGCCAGGGAATCTGGGTAGAGTCTCTGGATGGGGGAGGACCAAGGCGGGGGAGAGGGAACAATTTTACCCCCAGCGGACCTAAGCAGCACTTGCCCAACCAGTCCAGGCCGGCTTAAACTCTCCCAGAGCTGCCCGGGGCTGGGAAGCGCAAGCAGCCGGGGAAGGCTGGGAAAGCGGGCAGCGGGGCAGGCGCCCGGCCTTGTGTCCCTTTGCGGGTTGGTGGAGAAGCCTCGGAGCACTGCGCTGGGTCCTGAGTATCGCTAGCCAGTAACAGTGCAAGGCCACTCTCATCTTGGTGCCCCCAAGAAATACCCCCAATCCCAGCCCACAGAAACACCCGAAGCCTTTCCTAGCCAAGTGGGGCTGTGGGGGACACAGGACCTGGAGCTGAGGGCCTATCTCCTACAGAGGCTCCGAGAAGAGACACCGGAGCGGGATCGCCCCAACCCCGGCCGCCCGCGCAGACCTGTGGGCGCTTGCAGGGGACCGTAGGCCTTCGCCCCGGCACCCTGGCCTCCTGCCAGCTCGGCCCCGGTGAATCTGCATCCGGCACCACAAACCCCTCCCGAGCCCAAGTCCTGGCAGAGGCCGGGCTGAGGCAACCGACGAGCCCCGATGCGCCATAAAAGAAAATGAGGGTTGTTACTGTTTATGGGGTGTAAAGGGCTTCGAGGGAACCGCCACAACTTCGGAGGCCAGAGCGCCTTCCAGATGTGGCCGGGGAATTCTGCCTCACCCCTTTCCTTCTCTCGCCCTGCCCCCACCCCATCCCTTGACTCCTGCGAAGTTGACTGTATTCAAACGCGTGAAAGGGGAGTCGGGGCTCGGGTGGATGGGGGTCTCCTCACCCCACCCCCACCGTGCCGCCAGGTTGGGACGCCCTCTGTTATTGCAGACAGAAGGAACTTCAAAGAATGGGTAGTAAGGGTGTGCCATAAAGGCCGGGTCTGCGAACTGTCTGGAATTCGGTCCTTAATGAGTTTACAACTGTCCAGCCCCAATTAGGATATTCCACCAAAGCCCTTTCATTTGTTTGCTCTGTCTGCTGACGATAAAGCGGCTGCGGAAACAGCTCTTTTATGGGCATTGTCCCCTCCGTAGCTAGATTCCGGGCCCCACGCGAACCACGGGGAAGGGGCTCCCGCCCCCGCCTTTGGGAATGGGGACGCTGAGCGCGCCGCTGCTCTGGCTGTCGAAGTTCAGGCGTCCTGGGAAAGTTAGTACTGCAGTGCGAAAGGGAGACCAGCAGATGGCAGTGTGGCTCCACCAAAGAGGGGCTCGCGCCGCCATCTCCCGCCGCCGCGAGCCTGGGAAGTTCCTAAGATGTCGACTTGACGCGAGCCTTTCTGGAATTGGAGCCCCAGACTTGAATGAACAGCAGTCGTATATTTTCCGTGCTGTTCCTTCCTGGGATACAAGCGTGCGGCGGGGGCTTGCCTAACTCTCGCCGCTCGTGCCTTCCAGGCCCCATTCCCAGGGCGCGGAGTTGCTGGGCTGCAGCCGTTCGCGAGACTGCCAGGCTGGTGGCTCCAGGCGCGGGGACGGCTCCCGGCTCATCTCAGCCCTGCACGGTCCTCGGGGCCGCGAGGACGTGCGGACGAAGCCTACAGACCCCGGACCTGATGGCGCTACAGAGAACGTGCAGAGGACTCACGCAGTGGTCGCACGTTCCGCGGCGGTCCCGGAGGTCCCCGAAACCAGCGCCACAGTTCGGGGCCTGGAACAAGACCCAGCGAGCCAGCACCGGAGAGAGCCAGGATCCCGGGATTCGACCGGTTTGAATATGTGGCAATAAAATTAGACAGGTGAAAACAGGGCATAAAGCCTAGTATAGGTCTCCAGGGAGTTGGCAGGCATGGGGAATCTCTGGGACAGACCAAGAAATGTTCGGTTATTAATAAAAGTGATGTTTAAAATAATAATCGCAACATCACCTTTCACGTCGTGCAAGTAGCCCGTACTTTCTCTGGCTGCGGCATTTCTCTGGCTCGGAGGTGCCAAGACTGCCCAGCGATCTCTGCTGAGGAGGCAGCCTGGAAGGAACCCCACCCACGCTGCTCAGCCTTTCCGGGGCTTAGTGGGAAACGGGCTCCGGAGCCTCTGCAAAGGTGGCCGGAGTCCTGGTGCGAGGTTCTGCCACGGGTGTAGAATGGCTTCGAAGGGAAACACAAAAGCAAACACAGAACCCTTCCAAGCACCTCAGAGCCTTGTGAACATGCCGCACGGTGCATTTATTTGGGTTGTAATAGTCTCGGCCAAGCCTGCAAAATGTTTACGACCTGCATCTCCCCTGCAGAACGCGCTGTAAAACTGGGGATATGATTTTGGCTGACATCTCTCCTGGGTGTTGGCCCTCTCTCTCTCTCCTTTTATCTCTGTCTATATACACTACACACGTTGGCATTACAAAACACAGCTTCATTGTATTTCCCTATACAATTCACACTATTTCAGAGCATCTGATTATAAGAAGGGTTTTTATTGCTTTCTCGAGAGTCACTACTTTGTATCCAAAGTCAGAAAACTGTTTATGTAATAACAAATAAACGGAGAGATCAATCAGTGGGTGCAGATTTTTAAAAGCTTGATTTCTGTAACTACAAATAAACGAAATCATAAATTGGTGCTGACCGCTACTCTCCACCGATCACAGAGGGCCCAGGTAGGTACAGTCTGCTCTGAGTCTGAGGCCTTGTGAACTGCCTGGCAGGGCCTCCCTTGCCCTTGGCCGGCTGGCGGCTGGGAGGCTGCTTTCCCTGTCAGGGAGCAACTTCCTGCCCTCCGTCCAGGCTAGGTCAGACCCCCACGCCTGCCGGAGCTCATTCACTCGAGTCGAGGGTGGGCTGGTCCACGGCACAGGCCACCACAGCAGCACAGCACCCCTCACTTGGTGGAGAGCAGACTTGGTGGTGGCGCGTGCGGGTAGGATGGGTGGAAACATTTGGAGAAGCAAATCGCTGGCAGCCCAGCAGGCTCCATTCGCTGTCAGAGAGCTGAGTTTAAAATCTTAACTGGATTTAAATATTGCAGACTATTTGGTTAACAGTACTCAGAGGAAACACTCTCTAGCAATGGGTGAGACACAAGCTCCAGGACAGCAGTGGGAAATGTCTGTCTAAAGACTGTCTGGCTGATTAGAAACTGGTCTACCTATCCCTGCTCCAGGTCACGCATCAACGAATATTTCTTTGAACATTGTCACACATAACCCAGTACCTTATCATCTTTCAATCAAATAAGTAAGGAACCAATAGCTCAGGAGCACAAATTAAATAGGCTTTATTGAAAGCCTAGTATTTGTTGGGCCTTTTTATTTTAAAATCCAACTGCAGAAGACAGGAAGGGAGAGAGAATCTCAGAAACGAAAGGGAGGTTTCAGTGCCTTCAAGGCTTGGCCCAGTTGTCTGACTTTGGCCCAGAAGCACAGAGGCCTAGCGGGCAGTATCTGTATCCTCCTTGGCTGGGGTGTAGGGTCAGAGCAATCTGCCAAGATGGCTTGGATGCCCGCCCCACCAACTCCAGGGAAGAGATGATCGTCCTGGGTACCGAGCTCCCCTTATCAGTGAAGTGTGTACCTGCCATCACCCCCATGAAATCGCTTCCCATTCAGAACGTCTGGTTGCCTTGCTTGAGGCAGGTTCTACTTTAAACACCATCGCTGTGGGCCACTGCAGCCGCCTGAGTCTAGACAGACGGCGGCAGCTTGGCCAGGGTCTTTCTCTTTGCTTCTTGCTCTGTGTCACTAGAGGAACAATTTATTGGTCTAAAGCCATCTAATTCTGCCTCTTTGATCTATCCTTCTTGTTTCCTGCATCTCTTAACTTTCTTAGGTTTTTATTTCCCTGCCAGAAGGCAGTGATAT